TAATGTGTGTTTAGATAGTGAGTAATTGAACTGCAGTAAGAAGTATTATTGACGTTCGTTGTTTTAGCGTTTGTTTAGCGAGATTGTTGAAGTTGAGTGTATCGGTAAAGTTATATTCGGAAAGAATAAACCAGTTTAATTAAGTAAAGACTTCTGTCCTTAAAATTTCGTCGGAACGAAGTTACGGAAAATCAATTAACAAACGGAGACGTAACAGAGCGATTTTGGAAGATTTCTGGAGAGATAGCGTATTTTCAATGCTTCTTCGGTGCCATCACACAGTTTATTTGTTTGTTTGTTTTATTAAGCACAAAGCTACATAAAGGGCTATCTGTGTTCTGCCCATCACGGGTATCGAAACCCGGTTTCTAGCGTTGTAAGTCCGCAGACATACCGCTTTGCCACTGGGGGCGCCATCACCACAGATATGTACATTTAAAGTTGTACTATTTGTATTTTTCTTTTGGTACAACTTTAACTTTATGATGTTTACTTTTGGCGTAATTTTGATATACTAAAAATCAAATTAATACTTTATTTGCTTCTTTAATTTAGCTTATTCCAACTGAAAACATTAAAAATATAAAAAATTAAAATAATATTTTGAATTCAAATTGCTACAACTGAATATATGTGTGTGTGGGCAGTGTTTATAAATGAAGATGAATAAAACCCACTAATTAAAGTAAGTGGAATTGTTGTAAATTTTAAGTTAATATAGTGTCTATATTTCTTAGTCAAATATTTCAATTACTAATGAGTAAATATATGGTTTATGTCATCAGCATTTGAAAATTATGTCAAAGCGATGTAATAAAAGATCAAGTTAATTATATTTTACCAAAAAATGCATTAAATTAAACCAAAGGTGTTTGATGCCATGTTACTATAGTAGTACTAGTAAAGCTTCTTGTAAGTTGTATTATATTTTTGACTGATACATATAATTTGGTAAAGTACTCTTAGTTTTACCAAGGTGTACAGGTTGTGAAAGATAAGGGAAATCAAGATAACCTCGCAACGTATTTCGAAAACAAACTACGTGTTTAATTATATATATATATATAATATATATATATATACACACTCCGGTTGTACTTGTAAGACTAAGGAAACGGCATTGGATTAGAATGCTTCAGAAGGTTCATGATGCGGTAGGACTAAAAGTAAAAACCTTAACATGTTTATTAATTTTTTTATGGTTTTTGTAGTTGTATAGTTAATCAGTGATATTATTTAAAATTTATTTCAATTCAGTAGCTATTTTACTGTGTTAACAATGTAGGCTGTGATAGGATCAGAACCTGTGACCAACATCATGGGACTTAACTTCAGTTAATAAGTTAATTGTGAGTTGATATTCACAATTCACCTTTTTAGTTTTACATATTAACATTGCACCGCAGCATTAGCTACATTAGCTTATCACTAGTAGACCTAACAATCTAAAACTTACAAAATTGTTAGCCTAATTTCTTTTAATGTACCAGAAGAAAACCCCCTAAAAAATAACCTGTAAATTTCCAAAAAGTGGCATTTTCTTTTAGTTTTATAACGTTCAATTTACACTATGGTAGGCCTACTTATACTATAAAGTATAAGCCATAAGTTAAAGTTATATGTTTGTGTTCATGATATAAAATTTAAAAATTAATAACAACAAGGGACCTGTATTACTATTAGTCCTTCTAATTATTTAAGTTCTGTGCTAAAACTTAAACTTAAAAAAAGAAAAAAACCATCAAAGCCAAACCTTATCATTTAAATATTTATCAAGTTTATTTTTAAACTTTCCTAAATTTACTGCAACTTACAAGTGCAACCAACACATCTAAAGGCATTGTATTCCAAAGGCCAACCATACTGTTTGAAAAATAAATCTGCTTTAACTGAAGATGACTCCTATTCTGCTAAAATTTATATTTGTATCCCCGAGTGCTACCATGGTGATTTCTTGACCCAATCATGCGTTTAATAAAATTATAAGTAAGTGTTTTTTCTTAGATACAGAGAGCCATTAAGACTAAGAGTTAGAATCAGTATAGAGGGTATTTATATTATGATTCATAGTTTTTTTACTTTTTAGATTTTTATTTTGAAAATGAAAAATGGTTTGGGCTATTTAGTCAGTTGACTGAATTCAGAGTTAATGCAAACCCTCTGCTTGTATGATGGTTTTTATACCATTCACTTCTGGTGAGGTCCACATCTTACAACAAATTGAGTAATTTTATGTTTTTGCCTGTTTCAACTCTCAGTGAAGGGACCATAAAAAAGTGGATGCAATACATATTTGCTACATAAAATACATCAGTAATTAGTTGGATTGATTGCAATATTCATATTTTATTTATTTATTTGTGATTCATATATTATTAATATGGTCCCTAAAACCACTAAAAGCCATGTACCAAGAGCAGTTTGGTGCATACATCTTATAAATTCTTGAAAAAGCTAATATGGTACATGTTTGTGAAACTTTTACTCTTGTTTTAGAGACCGTAAATCCTAGATGCTGCCCCCAGTGGTAAGTCTGAGGGTGTATAATGTTAAAAATTGGGTTTCAATACACTTGGTGAGCACATAACAGAAAACTCATTGTGTAGCTTTGTACTTAACAACAAAAGAATCTTAGATACTGACTGAACAGCTAAAACATTAAAACAGTTCTAACAATAAATCAGTAATACAACATTTTGAGAATCTAGACAGAAAGTCCTTCAAGTTTCTTGAATAGTGTTTCATCAGTTCTTTGTTTATACCAATAGTTTTTTAATTATCTGAAATTATCAGTTTGTTTGAACTTTTTTTTTATATTTGGTCCATCAGTTTATTATTATTTTTTGCCCATATATACTTTTATTGTACATGTAGATATTTATTATACAAGAGCCAAAGTGTATGTTAAAATGTTTATGAAAGTATGTATGTTTAAACAGTTTTCATTCAACATTTTGATGTTTATTATACAAGAGCCAAGGTGTGTGGTAAAAATGTTTATTGTTTATGATGGTACATATGTTTAACCAGTCTTTATTCAACATGTAGATGTTTATTATACAAGATCTGAGGTGTGAAGTAAAGGTGTTTTCTATTTCTGACAGTATGTATGTTTAACCAGTCTTCATTCAGTATGTAAATGTGTATTAATAATCAAGAGCCAAAGTGTGTGGTAAAGCTGTTTTCTGTTTGTGACAGGATATATGTTTAATCAGTCTTCATTGAACATATAAATGTTTATTATACTAGAACCGAGGTGTTTGGTAAAGGTGTTTTCTGTTTGTGACAGGATATATGTTTAACGAGTCTTCATTGAACATATAAATGTTTATTATACTAGAACCGGGGTGTTTGGTAAAGGTGTTTTCTGTTTGTGACAGGATATATGTTTAATCAGTTTTCATTCAGTATGTAAATGTTTATTATACTAGAACCGAGGTGTTTGGTAAAGGTGTTTTCTGTTTGTGACAGGATATATGTTTAATCAGTCATCATTGAACATATAAATGTTTATTATACTAGAACCGAGGTGTTTGGTAAAGGTGTTTTCTGTTTGTGACAGGATATATGTTTAATCAGTCTGCATTCAACATGTAAATGTTTATTGTACCAGAACCGAGGTGTTTGGTAAAGGTGTTTTGTGTTGATGACAGTTTGCAAGATTAACTAGTTTTCATTCAACATGTTAATGTATATTGTACCAGAACCGAGGTGTTTGGTAAAGGTGTTTTGTGTTGATGACAGTTTGCAAGATTAACCAGTTTTCATTCAACATGTTAATGTATATTATAACTCAGATGTGATTTATTGTGAAAATTATTGTTGATAATATAAATAATGTATTTATTAACCAAATGTGTACATTTCATAGGACCAACCCATATTGTAGAAGAAATGTTGACTATAATTCCAAATTTACATGAAATTTGTTAAGCTTTTAGTAAAATTTACAAGATTGTTGTACACAAAATATGGTGATATAATATCATTTGTACTCAAGATATATATATAAATATGACATCAGAGTGACTCAAACTCTTTATAAGTCAAAGTTTAAGGTGATTCTCGGTTAAAGAATAAAAATACTTTTTTGATTGTACAGTTTGCGTATTGCTTTTGCATAACCTCTAGAACCTTTGAACTGCATATCTATAGTTTTTTTCAGTATCCCTATATTTTGTATTTGGTATTTACTCTCCTGTACCATGAACTTTCTAAATCATAAATATATGGTAAATTGAATGGTTAATAACTCTGAAATCAAACACATAATACTAGGATCAACAAAACCCTGTAAAAGGTCATGGCATGCACACTTTGAACCTCATATGTGCACATAGGGTTAATTGGAGAAATGGGGTGTTTTTTCTTTAAATGGAACATTAAAAGTGAACTACTTGCAAATCTGTTTAAATTTCCCTACCCTAGGATAAGTTGATATTCAAACTGAAATTATACAATTCCTAATAATTCTGTCATTATCATGCATTTTATGTCTATAATAGCACTGATATTATCTTTCTATAATAAGTTAACTTGCTTGAAGTTTTAAGTAAGAATAATTTACTTGATTTCAGTTCTCATTTTGCATTTTATGGAAACTTTGCTACACTAAATCCACAACTCTGTAGTCACCTTCAAATTAATAACCTTCAGTGGTTTCATTAAACAAAGTAAAGGTTATGATATTTATAAGAAAAAGCATAACTGATCTGAAATATGTGCCAGTAGTTTTCCTTCCCTGAGTGCCATGTGAGCTGAATAGTTGAATCAAACTATATGTATACATGTTTTACACAGCAGTTGGCTTGGTCTGCTGTCTAGAAAATGCAATGATCAGGTAATTCACATGATGATAACAGCAGTAGCCTTGGAACATTATTGTGAGCCTGGGGTCACAGTACAAGTGGTCTTTGAACATTATTGTGAGCCTGGGGTCACAGTACAAGTGGTCTTTGAACATTATTGTGAGCCTGGGGTCACAGTACAAGTGGCCTTTGAACATTATTGTGAGCCTGGGGTCACAGTACAAGTTACCTTTGAACATTATTGTGAGCCTGGGATCACAGTACAAGTGGGCTTTGAACATCATTGTGATGTTGGGATCACAGTACAAGTCACCTTTGAACATTATTATGAGCCTGGGGTCACAGTACAAGTTACCTTTGAACATTATTGTGAGCCTGGGATCACAGTACAAGTGGGCTTTGAACATCATTGTGATGTTGGGATCACAGTACAAGTCACCTTTGAACATTATTATGAGCCTGGGGTCACAGTTCAAGCTCTAATCAAGACCTGTAATGGCTCATGCTTTCTTTTATTTCATAAGATTCTGTTAAAATCTATACAAAGTTAATACTTTATAGAAGAACAGCTTTATTTTTAAGGTATTATCTCAAGAAGCAAGAGCAATTTTTTTCCCAAACCTTTTTTTGCAGGTTTTTTTATTGAAAGAAGTTTCACACTGATTTCCTTCTGTTTTGAATCCTGATAGCCCAGAAACCACACTTATTTTAAGATTCATTCACGAAAATCATAAGGGCACATTCACATTTGAAAATTTTAGTTTACATGTATGAAAAAATTCAAAAATTAATTCAATTTCGTGTTTTAATACTATTATTGACTTTAGAGTATCAAACTGATATCAAACTCATTTGTTTTTGAGGCTGGTGTTAGATAAATGTACATAGTATATACACATTTTAGAAATTGGTTTGTCCCATGTAAATAGTAGCTGAGCTTATGGATGCCACATGGTTTCTTGTCTATGTAGAGAACTTACTTACATAACAATCAATAAATTAGAGAATGTTATCAGATTGATTAGCATATGTGCTAGAGCTGGGCAGTTAACTTGATATAATCGATTACCAGTGAATATCAATTCTTGTTACATAAAATAATCAACTAATCAAAATTACAATTAAATTGATTATTGTCATGTAAAATAATCAACTAATCAAAATTAATGTTTTTGACTAGAGCTAGATAAGTAGTTTGATAAATCAATTAAATTGAATAATGTCAAAAATAATCAACATATTGAAATTTGTGTTTCTGATTATTACTGTTTTCAGTTATTCCAATTATCCAAGTCCAATTTCATGATAATCAATTAGTTGAATGTAATTGATTAATGAGCCTAAAGAATAGTCAATTATCAATGGTTACTTTATGATTCTTTGTCAGCTGTTACTTGTACCTTGTAAGTGAGCTGTCAAGCAGGTGACCTGTTAATTAATCAAGTATGATCAGTCTAACTTTCATATCTATACAGTTTGCAATAAAAAGAAACACAACTTTAATTAGATAATTGTATCAAGTAAGGTTGTTTCTAAGGTGATCAGTAATTGATCATGAACTGTTACTTGTTGCACCTTTGAAGAAGGGTGGTAATTGGCAGTCAGCCTAAAGGATTCCTACTTGAACTTGTAATTATGACATAATGATCAAACACTTGTTTCTAAGTGATGAAAATTAACATATTTTATCAGATTCAATGCTAGAACTGTCAGAGGGCATCACAATGCCACAGACAACAGTTTCATCATATTTTACCATTCATCACAAAGTTACATACAGTAACACACATAAGTGTATACACATTGAACAGATCCATAATATACAGGGTAAAACTACGATATGAAAGCAAGGCATAATTGTTACTGGGGTCATTATAGTCACTGATTTTGTCATTGTTTTGATCCTCAGAGTGACTCATCCTGCCTGGTGTTATACTGGTGATTCAATCTTGCCTTAGTCACACATACTGTCTGGTGTTATACTGGTGATTCAGTCTTGCCTTAGTCATACATACTGTCTGGTGTTATACTGGTGATTCAGTCTTGCCTTAGTCACACATACTGTCTGGTGTTATACTGGTGATTCAATCTTGCCTTAGTCACACATACTGTCTGGTGTTATACTGGTGATTCAATCTTACCTTAGTCACACATACTGTCTGGTGTTATACTGGTGATTCAGTCTTGCCTTAGTCATACATCCTGTCTGGTGTTATACTGGTGATTCAGTCTTGCCTAAGTCACACATACTGTCTGGTGTTATACTGGTGATTCAGTCTTGCCTTAGTCACACATACTGTCTGGTGTTATACTAGTGATTCAATCTTGCCTTAGTCACACATACTGTCTAGTGTTATACTAGTGATTCAATCTTGCCTTAGTCACACATACTGTCTGGTGTTATACTAGTGATTCAATCTTGCCTTTGTCATTCATTCTCTCTGGTGTTATACTTGTGATTCAATCTTGCCTTGGTCATTCATCTTCTCTGGTGTTATACTGGTTATTCAATATTGCCTTTGTCATTCATCCTGTCTAGAGTTACACTGGTGATTCAATCTTGCCTTAGTCAGTCATCCTGTCTAGTGTTATACTGGTGATTCAGTCTAGCTCTAGTCAGTCATCCTGTCTGGTGTTATACTGGTGATTCAATCTAGCTCCAGTCAGTTATCCTGCCTGGTGTTATACTGGTGATTCAGATTCAATCTAGCTCTGGTCAGTCATCCTGTCTGGTGTTATACTGGTGATTCAATCTAGCTCTGGTCAGTCATCCTGTCTGGTGTTATACTGGTGATTCAATCTAGTTCTAGTCAGTTATCCTGTCTGGTGTTATACTGGTGATTCAATCTAGCTCTGGTCAGTCCACCAGTATAACACCAGACAGGATATTCAATCTAGCTCTAGTCAGTTATCCTGTCTGGTGTTACACTGATGATTCAATCTTGCCTTAGTCAGTCATCCCGTCTAGTGTTATACTGGTGATTCAATCTTGCCTTAGTCATTCATCCTGTCTGGTGTTATATTGGTTATTCACTCTAGCTCTGGTCATTCATCCTGTCTGGTGTTATACTGGTGATTCAATCTAGCTCTGATCATTCATCCTGTCTGGTATTTTGATAATGATCCAATCTTTCCACAGTTAGTCTTCCTGTCTGATGTATTTCACACTGTGAAAATTAGATTTATCAAGTGAATGAGTAAGTAGCTCATTAGCCAAATCATGTATAAATTGTTGCTATAGGTGACTGTTAATAAGAAGTTTCCAAAAACAAATGCCTTTTAATAGCTGTTTGATGCATACCTGGTTTTATACACATTGGGCTGGTTTTAGTAAATATATATATATACATTTGTTTCATATAGATATTTTGATTGGTTAATTCTTGGGTTGAAAAAGATGTATGGAAATCAGTTGTTGCACATATGTTGTAATTTTCTTTTCCTAATGGGTAATATACAGCATTTTATGTAAAGTTAATGCCGTAAAGGTGTCAATGTAAAGTCACTTTAGTAGTTAGGCAATGCATTCTTTTCTGTCTTGACCAAGTAGGTACTTATGCTTTCTTCAAAAACTTCTGTTTGGTTGCATAAGTTTTTTCCATATTATTGGTATTACTTCATACATTTGACTGTTTGTAGTTACCAGTGGTCATGTGTAATTAAGGAAAGTGAGAGCAAAGGTTTAAAATCTATTTAAAACTTAAAATATTAAATGATATTCTGGGAGAACTATCTTACATTAAGTATTCTTTACTGGAAATAGTCTAAAAGATAATAGGTGGAATACCCAGCTGACATCTTTATTGTTGTCATCAAATGAAAAAATGATAGGTGTGTTATAACCACAAGTGTAATCACAAAACAAAATAGAAGATTTCTTAACACTTAATGTACAACAAAAGCAATACAAGTATCACCACGAAAGACAGTGGAAGATTTCTTAATACTTGATGTACATTAAAAACAATACAAGTATAACCTAAATAGAGGATGAAAGATTTCTTAACTCTTGAACCTGGCTATTTCAGTCATTGTTTAATTAAACTTCTCTTTTAGTTCAGTGGTGTTACATTTTTGATATATAATTTTTTAAATGAAGGTTATATAAAGTTGAAAATAGATATCCAACTTATAAATCTTTTCAGTTATTTTTAAGTGGATTTAATCTTTTTTTCAGGTGGATGGGATGAAACGTTAAATAGCGAGGCTTTACCATTAAAGCTTCTAAAATGAGCTGGTTCAAAAGAGACAGCCCACTGAGGTCTAGTTTTCGCAGGAGGTCGTCTCAGATTCCTCCTCTACAGGAATTGGATACTAATGCTTGCTTTGAAACATTTAAAATACACTGGAAACAGGCATGGCAAATCATGAACATAGAAAGGTTAGAATTTTAATTATATTTCCTAGCTCAAAATTTACTATCAAGGCAACTTGTGTGATACGTTTAAAAGCAGGAACAATGTTTAAAATGTACAATAGAAACTTTATTTGATTGACAGATGATGTTAAAAGATTCTATATGTTTTGGTAACTTTATGCTGCCATCACCAGGAATTTAAAAATGTACTCCACAAGCAAGAAACTTAGGTCATTGTAAACATTAAGGGTAGTATGAATGTTATATATAAGAAATCAATATTTCTCTCTAAAGCTGTGTGTTAGAGCAATCTAACTCTTGAGCTCTATGTTTTACTTCTGATGATGGTAGTGTAAAGTTATCAAAACATGTAGAATCTTTTAATGTTGGCCATGAGCCAAGTAAATTTTTTATTATGCACTTTTAGTGTTCTTTCTGCTTTCATTTTTAAGTACTTCTCAATTGTTGAAGAGTTGATGTAATTCATCAAGAAAATGTGTTCAAGTCAAAATCGTGGCAGGAATTTTGGTATAAAAAATCCACCGAGATGAAACCTCAGGGGATTACCAGGGGTAAAGAGGGGTAGATCTAAACTTGACAAATTCAAACTGCTCCTGTGGGACAGAGGGTCCTTCAGGGCGGCATCGATCTATAAATCCAATGCCAGAGAAATTTGCTGTGGGAGGAGAAATGGAAGTGCCCAGAGAAAACACACTTTCATGAACAGAGTGCCAAAAGAAAAAGCCCAGTCTGTGCCTGAATGATACAAGGCATAGAAGGAGGTGTGTGGTTGAAGAGGTGAAGGTTAGTCTTTCAGGAGGTAGCTATGTTCAGGGGGATTTTAAACTCAGAAATTCACGGTCATAGTCTCCGTCTTCCCTGTGTACAGGGTAGGTTGGGTTGAAGTCGTCAGGTGAAAAAAGCACCCTGGGTCTGGAGGTGCGGGCTTGGAATCATTAAAGCAAGCATTCAGTGGATGGAATGCTATAGGGTGAATGAGGTAGTTGTTGGGTTTGTGTTGATCATTAATGGTAGAATCTTGGCTGGATTGGGTGGATTAGTCAGTTGCGAGTAATATGATGTGTGATGACACTTAGGTTAGATGGATGGGGACTTGTGTAATATCTGAAGAGACTGTGAATGAAAAGGCTGGACATTGTCTTGGTCTGATGGGTTTTTTCAGCTTTAAAGTCGAAATGGTGGAAGTAACATCTGTGGTTCAGCATTAGGTCTGCTGTTGGTTTGTGAGGTTTTTTATAAAATGAGTGGTTGAGCCAGTTAAATGGGAGCATATCCAGTGTAGGGGAAAAGCTTTGTCTTGGAGGATTGTTCAAGAGCATGCAGAATTTCTTCTGGAGTAATGGAGAGGTCAACAACTTGAAAAAAACAGTATAGAGGTGTAATTTACTTTTGGGGGTTGAACAAGTCATTTGGGGGAGGGAATTCCAGGAGCTTCACATAAATGTGAGGTTAGCATGGCTTGAGGGCTGGAGAAAAACTCCTCTTCATCATAGGATTGTTGTTTTCACAAAGTCGATTGAAGCTCCGGTTTTGTAGTGGTTGATAAATGTGCTAATTTGTCTCAGGGAGAAGTTGCTGGGAAGTCCGTCAAGGATGATCGGCGATGTCGCAGAGGATACAGAAGGCTTGGAGCCAGACATACCTTAGTACTTGCTTCGGCATTGAACTCTGTCATGGTCGATGGAAGACAATTAAAATTCACTAAAAAATTGATTATTCTTTAATATGATTTAATGAACAACAGCTGGATAATGAGCCATTTGCAGTTTCATCTTATTTCGGCATGTACTTAGACATGCATGGCTTAATTTTTGAGACAAGCACATGACTACTGGCAGATAAAGAAAATGTGTTGGTCTTTATGGTTCATTTTTATATTTGAATAATATTGACTACAATTACATTGATGCAATGATATGAAAATCTAGTTTCTGTTTGAAACAACATTGTGAGAAAATTCTCTGTAAAAAAAAACATTTATTGTGTTTACTAGGTGTTTTATGCCTTAAAAAAAGAGAAGGTATTATATTAACTAGGTGTGTTTGTGCCTTAAAGAAGATAATGCATTGTATTCATAACGTGTTTTTATGCCTTTAAAAAATAGAACACTAGGTGTGGTGTGTTTGTGTCTAAAAAAATATAATATATTCTATTCACTAGGTGTGTTTTTGCCTTAAAAAGAGAAGGTATTGTATTTTCTAGACGTGTTTGTGCCTTAAAAAAAACGAAATTTGCATTAACTAGGTGATTTCACATACAAAAAATAATATTTTTTAGTGAAGTATTTTTAATAAAGATTTGTCTATGAATATATTTAGTAATTGTTTTGAATAGTCTATGTGCAAGGTGATTTTGATGTTAAGATTAAAAATGCTTTTCTTCATCTCAAATTTCATTTGTGTAATCTCTTAAACCTCGTTAATACATTTCAGTTGTTTATTTTCAGTAAAACTTTATATTTTATGTTATTTTTTCTACCCTAAATCTATACAAGGTTGGTCAATTTGACTGACCATCGTAACTCCCCCCAATCAAATTGAAATAAATCTAAATTACCCTCTTTTTCTTTCTAGAATGGGGCCCGGCATGGCCAGGTG